ACATTGAAGATTTTTTGTCTTTGTCTCCAGAGTTTGAGTTTATTTCTCTTAGAGTTTGTTGAGCTTCTTAGATTTGTAGAGTTATATCTTGCACCAAATATGGGGAATTTGGGGCTATTGTTTTGTTGAATAAGCTTTCTATTCTCTTTTCACTTTCTTATCCTGGAAATTTCTACAATGCATATTTCGTTCTCCTTGATGATATCTCACCAAGTTTCTTTGACTCTGTTTATTTTTCTGCATTCTTTTTTTTCCTTTCTGTTCCATATACTGAACAATCTCAATCAAACTATCTTCAAATTCATGGATGATTTTTTTTGTGATAAGAACTGTTATTGAGGGTACAACCAGAGAACTGAAAAGTTCTGCTCAATTTGTGTACAATGAATCAAAAAGCATTCTGCTGTCATGTATAATTGATTAGAATAAATAAATAAATAAATAATAAAAAACTGTTATTGAGCTGGTTAGTGATTTTTTTCAATTCTAGAATTTCTATTGGTTCTTTTTTTTTTTTTTCGGTGGAGGTCCTGGCAATTGAACCCAGGGGGCCTTGTACATGCTAGGCAAGCCCTCTACCAACTGAGCTATATCCCCAGCTTCTCTATTGGTTCTTTGAAAATGCAATTTCTATTTGCTTGTTGATATTTTAAATTAGATGTTATTTTCATTTTTTCTTTTAGTTTTTTAGACATAGCTTTTTAATTGGTTTTTTAAATTGTTAATTTAAACTTTGCCTACTTTTGGTCTAATGCCTGAATTTCTCAGGGACATTTTCTATTGACCGCTTTCTTTTCTTAGGGGTGGATATACTTTCTTGTTTCTTTGCATATGACCTAATTTTGTTATTGAAAACATCATTGAAAATGTACAGCTCTGAAAATCAGATTTTCTTCCCTTTCCAGGGTTTATTGCTACCATCTTTTTCTTTCCCCTCTGAAGTAATTCAGTAAATTCTGATCCTTGCTCAGTTAGCTTAGTGGTCAACTAATGACTAGACAGAGATTTCCTCAAATGCTTAGAACTTATAAGCCTACCAGTTTTTAAGAAAGGTGTGTGTGTGTGTGTGTGTGTGTGTGTGTTGGGGAATCCTCCCAAAGCTCAGCCAGGCAGTTGACAACTCTGCCTTAGCCATCATAAGTATTGCCTCAAGATTAGCTAAAAGTGAGAGCTTAGATCCTTCTCAGGTCTTCTTTGAGCATGTTTCATAGTTTTTTTGTGTGTGTGTCTTTTTAGATTTTTAGAAATGAATTGGAGCTTTTCAAAGCTCCTTATGGATATATTTTTCCTGAGCTTTTCCTTTTAAGTCTTTTGATGAGCTTATTATTTGCCTCAATTGTTTGCCCACCTCCAGGAGCAATATTAAAAAATTGCCTCTGGTTGTTTTCAACCAAAGACCCTGGGGAAATACTGTTCACTGGGTGAACTCTAATCAGGTCAAATAAAGTCAGTCTAGCAAGTGTGTCTTCCATTTGTTATGACAATTCTCTGAGAATGAGGCTTTGATCGGGCTGCAGCACCTTTCTGTTCTTCCCAGGGGCTGCCAGCTGCTGTTTTTCACCATGCTTGTAAGTTATTAATTTTCAGTTTCTAAGGACCTGGAAAGATAGAGAGAATAGCTCACTCCTTTTTTACTGAAATTTGGCAGTTTTCTTGAATAAACATTTCTAGAATTGTTGCAAGCCTTCAGTTAAGTTCCAGAGTTCTGCAATAATGAATTTTGACACTTTTCCAATGTTCACATGAATTCTAGGGGGGGGAGGATTTTCAGTTGTCCTTACTACGTTTTCATTCTGGATATATGACTTTTGACGCTTGGCCAATTTATGATATAGTGATTAAATTTCTCTGAATTTCTGAATTTCTCCCTGGAGGCTCCTAGGGTTGGTTTCTTTACTAATGTTTTGCAACTGAACTTACATGTTTTACAAATGAGGCTTGATTATTTAAAGGGCCTAAGAGTTTCTTCTTTGAGATCCCTGTAGACAAGATTTCTCTTACAGAATTTGGTGGTTCATGCTGGTGATATGGAATGGTTCAATTAAGGGCCCTAGGGAGTTTGCACAATGGATATTTTCCTGACCACTAGTGTTTGCCTGTACTCTTCTTTTTCTTGCTGCACCATATCCTTGACTTTAAATAAAAGCCTGCCTGACTCTACTCTGATAAAACCTTTCAAATAACCCAACTTGGGTTATTTGCATATATCCATTCAATATAATGCCATGCAACTGTAGAAAGCTATGGGAAATGTATCTGTGAAATGATATGCAAAAATGGCCAATATATTTTTTAATAAAAATTCAGGTGCAGAACTATAATATAGTATACTAGGAGATAAATACATGGGTTTATAATTGTATTTATTTGCTCTGCATGAAAAAATACTGAAAGGATACACACATTAAAAAATTACTAATAAGTAGTGGAAGCAAGATACTTCAACTTAATTTTCATAAGTTTTTATTTTCAAACTTATGAATATAATACCAATTAAAATGGAATTTTAATGTAAGATTAGAAAAAGAAAAATTAAGTCAAGGGACCCAAGAGGTATAATAATGTATTAAAGTTGCTCATAACAAGTACTAAAAAATAAAGATGGAAAAATAATAGACATGCCAAAGTATAAACATGAACAACAAAAGTAAATAGCACAAAATGAATAGATGAAGTTTTACCTGGATATCATATAAAAGGCTTTGATAATTGCTTCTTCTCAGAATTTCCAAAAAGCAGTGCACGTGGCATTTTGTGCAGGCTGCTTCATTTTCTTGGGGGCTGTTCTGTGTATTTTGCAAAGTTTAGTGGTATTCCTGAACTCTACCCACTAGATAACAGTAGCACTTCCTTCCACCAGTTGTGACAACCAAAACTGTCTCTAGAAATTGCCAAATGGGGAGGAAGCACCAAAGTCACATCCAGTTGAGAATCACTGTTTTGACTGATCTCAGTAATAATTAGATTTTCTGAGAGGCTCATTAAAAACATTTAAAATTTTTCTAGTGAATATTTTCATTGAGATGTCAAATACTTTCCCAGTTTCTTAAATTGTTATCATAATTCTGATTTAGTCGGGATGCTACTTTATAAATTCTTTTCAGTAACTTTAATGATTTATCAGAAACATTTTCTTTTTTAATGAGATATTTAAAATGTTGAATCATTGGGTCTGATTTTGAAACTTCTTGTGTAGGATCCTATCTCTATTGTTTTGATGTTAGAGAAATAGAATCAAAACTCGCATTCACATACACATTTTTCAGTACAGTTTCTTGTAATTGAGGGGTGAAACATGTCTAATGTGTTTGAAGTAATCCTGTTACTGACTTTTTTCCTTTACTTGTCTGGAATTCTTGAAATCTTTCAAGAAATTGTCCAGAGGTTGGTAAGGCCAGCAATTATTTAAATAATTCCACATCTGTCTCAATTCCCATCTGATGACCTAAACCCAGAGACCCTGCCACTGCAGCAAATCACAATTCTGACAGCTCAATTTCTGGTAGGTATGTAGAAATACAGGAGGCTTCTCCCTCAGCTCTACCCAGCATCTTCTGAGAGTGATGCATATGGTCATAAGTACTTTAAAATGGTTGTTCCATTTCTGAAGAAAGTAACCCAAGAATCTAGAACCAGGAGACTGGCTCACAGATTACAGCACATCCCTCCACCCGAGTTTAGAGTCAAATCTCCTTCCACCTTCCTGTCTTCTTCCAGCGGGTTTATTGTTAATGTGATTAATTGCAGTTACGGGAGGGAGCGAGGAAGCACACATTCCCCCCAAGAATCACAGTGGTCTACCCTGTTTCCAAATTCAAGTGAAAGGGATTTCATTATTGGAAGAGAGATACAGGCAAAGCACGAAAGTGAAGCCAGTTGTATAACTGCGACAGAATAATTATTTTCATTCTGGGGAGAAAAAAAAAAAAAAAAAAGGACCGTAAAGACAGGATGCTCCGAAATGAATCTTCAACTTACAACGGGATCCTAACCACAGTCCCTTCCCTCTTCCCCGACGCCTTCAGATACTTGGAATCAATTCTCCTGCGTGCGTGCGTGCAAGACCAAGTGCACCGCCAGGAACTCGCCCAGGATCACCGGCTAAATAGCAAACAGATGCCTGGCAAGCCAGAGACCTCACTGACGAGGGCACAGCTTGGGAAGCCTGTTCCAGCCCAGTGGTTTCCGGGTGGAAAGGCTGTCCGGCCGGCTTGTTTTATCCTCTTTGCTTCAAATGGGCGGGTTTCGAAAGCAGGAATAGAGTCCCCCTCGCCCCCAGCAAAGCTGCGGAGAGTTAGATCCAGCTCCGGGCAGGGAAAATCCTGCCGCAGAAAACTGGGGAAGAATGGAGGCTTCCTTGCTCCCCCTTCCCGAGGTAAAGCAGCCCTCCCTTCCTCTTCTCCCTTGAACTGCAGACTAGGTGCTCACATAGTTTTTTGTCGACCTTTCCTGCAGCCCAACTTCCTAAATTCCGGAAAGACTCCAGGACCCCAAACCTTGTTTCCAAGTTCTCATTCTCTGTTCCAGCCTCATGCATCCTGTCTTAATTCAGGAGGCGAATTTGGGGGCCATAGTTTTGGCTTCAGATATTATGAAAGCGCAGTTGCCTCTCTCAGGGTCATTTCAAAGCGTTTCCCCAAATATTCCTGTCCTCGACTCCTCGCCAGCACACGAGGCCCAAGCTGGTGGCCAAAAAATTTTATTGCCAGGGAGCTCATCGTGGTCAAGCTTGGTATCTGACCCTTCTGCGACAACAAACAGGGCACACCCCAGCAATTCTGAACTCCTCGAAAAGGTCCAGATTAGAGTTTGGTTCTACAGCTCCCTCCTGCACTTATCCCGAATGCTTCTTCTGCGTGGTCATTCACTTTGGACCCCCAGGGGCGCGCATCTTGGTGCGCCGGGTCCGCCTCTTCCCAGCGATCTGGTGGGGCGGGTTGGGTAGGCTGGGACCTGGATCTGATTAACTGGGAGGGGGAAGCCCTGGTCCCAATCACTTTCTTCTGTCACAGTTCTCTTAGGCTTCTCGAGGAGGAGGGTAGTACAAGAGAGAAAGGGCGGAGAGTGTGGGGGGTCCCACCAACCAATACCCTCGCTGGGGATTGTGTCTCTTCTGCTATCTCGAGTATCCTATCTCGCCAGCGCCAAACTCGCGTTATGGAACCCCCCTCCAGCTCTGGCTTCTATGTGAGCCGTGCGGTGGCCCTGCTGCTGGCTGGGCTGGCTGCCGCACTCCTGCTGGCGCTGGCAGTGTTAGCTTCTCTGTATGGCCACAGAGCGCGTGTCCCGCCGTCGGATCGGCGTAGCCTAGAGGTCCCAAACGCCGCGTCCTTCTCTCCCCTCGGGCAGGAGGGGCCATCGTCAACGCAGGAACCCGTCCCTACAAGTGAGCCTCAGGTGACAGCCACCTCGCAAGACTGGCGACCTCCGGGCCCCTGGGACCAACTGCGCCTGCCACCCTGGCTGGTGCCGCTTCACTATGATCTGGAACTGTGGCCCCGGCTGCAGCCCGATAAGCTCTCCGTGCAGTTGTTGCGATTCAGTGGTCGAGTGAACATCACGGTGCGCTGCGCGGTGTCCACTAAGAGACTGCTGCTGCACAGCCTCTTCTTGGACTACGATCGCGCTGAAGTGCGGGGTCCCCTGTCCCCAGGCACTAGGAATGACACCGTGGGCCGCGTGCCGGTGCATGACGTGTGGTTTGCTATGGACACTCAATATGTTGTGCTGGAACTCGGTGAAGCTCTACAGTCTGGTAGCCTCTATGAACTGCACCTCAGCTTCTCTGGCCCAATATTCCAGGAAGTCAGGGAGGGACTCTTCCTCAACACGTACACCGACCAGGGCGAGCGCAGGTAAGGGCTGCCTAGCCCAAATCCCCTGTGTCCCTCCTCTGCGTCTTGGAGCAGGCTGCAGATCCAGCTGCCCATAGTGTCCAGGTGTTCACTTCCTGCCCTTCTTATAGGCATTTGCCTCTTGGACTTTTTCTTCCAGAGCCAGAGGACGAACGCCTCCTTTCTCTCATTTCCTCCTGAAACTGCTAGGAGTTAAAGTTTCCAGACCTAAGTTCCTCCTCTGATTAGTTTTCTTCCCTATCCTGCCCATCTAATTTGAGGTCTCTGCCACCCCAAAGGTTCATCGTTTTCTTCAGAAAGCTCCTTTCTCTCCAGCCCAGAATTTCTTCACCCTCCTACTCCCGAAAAATCCCTTGCTACTCAAAGATTGGTGCTTTGACCAACAGCCGCTGTAATACTTGGAAGTTTGTTGGAAATGCAGATTCTCAGGCTCTACTCCTAACCAAGGGGCTCAGAATCTTGGGATTTTAATGAAAAATTTAACGAAATTCTTGGGTTTTGTGGGTGTTAAAGTTGGAGTAGCGTGGGGTTAAAGCGCCCTTCTCTTTCTGAGGTTCTTCCCTACCCAGAGCGCTCTAGGTGCTCACTTCCCTGCTCTGCCTCTTTTTCGGGTCACTTTTTAAGAGCTGCTCTTGCAACAAATATACCCACATCAGGGTTGTTTGTTTCCATGTCCTTTGGTTTTCTGCTAAGGCTTGCTCTCCACAACTTTGGGATTCATCCCCTTCCACTACTGTCTGGGGCACTCATCCCCTGGCAAGTAGCATCTTCTCCTACCCTTTCTATATTTTGTCAAGCTCTGCAGAACGTCAGAAATGGGTACTTCTGAGATTCCTCTTCTGGGAAAAACTAAATAAATAAAAGCGATGACAAGACACGTCCTCTCTGAGTTTCAAGCCCACGCAAAGAACTTGTGTTCCTTTTCCACTCCCAAACGGGGTATTTCCAGCCCTTTTTTTTAAAAAAAAAAATCGTCCCTTCCTTACTCTGCCATCACACTACTGAAAACCAGAGAACAATGGGGAAGTGGCATATATGGAACAAAGGAAACAGTTTCTCTATTTTTTTTTTAACCTGCCATCTTATCCTTTATTCATTCAGTGGAGGAGCATTTGTGGATTATAGGACTGCATGTACTTTACCCATTGTTATTAGAGAAAATGTTCTCAGAGGTTCTGGGAAGGGGGGACAGTGAACCTATTAAATCACCGTCTAAACAATCTCTTGCAATTTCTTTTCCAGTTTCAAAGGTTTTTAAATAAGTTTAATGACCTGCCTTAGTGGATATGTAATCTATAAGTTTTGTTTTTAAGGACAGTATGCTTGTTTTTTTTTTTTTCAAAAATGCATTAATACTTGAAAAATAGCCTCAAAATTTTCTCATTAGGATGATGTCTTACCCAACTCATACACATGTAGACCTATCGAAATAACTGTATTTCAGGGTGCAAGATCTTTCAGAGAAAAAAATGGAAATTCTGCATAGATATCTGACAATATTTTGTTTTGCCACCCAGTAAATCTTAATTTGTTCATCCATATCCCCTCCCTCCCTCCCTTCTTTCCTTCTTTCCTTCCCTCTGTCTTAGTGGGAGTATGACTCAGACAAAGTAGCAAACATGGTAAAGGAATACATTTCTCTCTTGTGCCAATCAACTCTAACAATAAGTAGAAACCGTGCTTTCAGAACATTAAAATTGAGGTAGAGGGGCTGGGGTTGTGGCTTAGTGGTAGAGTGTTCATTTAACACATCTAACATGTGCAAGGCCCTGGGTTTGATCCTCAACACCACATTTAAATAAATAAATAAAATGTATTGTGTCCAACTACAACTAAAAAATAAAATGAATATAAAAAATTGAGGTAGAGTTTCAAACTTGTGGTGTTTTGGAAGATATGTAGCCAAGAAGTTGTCCCTTTGGTCTTTGCATTTGAAATCACCAGGAAAAGACAGCTGTAGTTAAACATGAAGCCAAGGTCATGAAGAACCTGGTATGGCAAATTTGGGGATCCCAACAGATCTGTATTTGAAACTGAGCTGTGTGAATTAAGCCAGTTTCTTAGCCTCTGTGAGTCAGTTTTCTCATTCATTCATTTCATGGAATAGATATAATAACTGTCAACTTTTAGAATATTGTAAGAATTAAGTGAGAAAGGAGGTGCACAGCTTGGGCAGTGATAACAGCTATTATAGGTCAGGTCATCATTGTTGACAGCAAACAGCCCCCTCATTATCTAAACATTAAAACTGTCAAATTCCTAGATTTGAGTCTGAAAGGTCCCAGACAGGAACAAACCAGGGGCCAGGGTGCTGCAGTCTGGCTGGGCACAAATCACGAGCCACTGAAGCAGGAACAAACTTTATTTCTGAACTCCACCAGCACACTCCACACACGATCCCCGGGAACTATCCCAAACCCCGCACGACTCGTCCAGGAACCAGCCACCAGAAATATCTCCTCCGGAAATCCCTCCTCCTTCATTTCCCCAACCAATGGGAACTCTCCGGGAATCCCCAGGAATCCCCACGAGAACTCCAAAGTAGCGGCCAAGGTGAATAGTAATGCCTCGCCTGTCAACCAGAACTATTGGCAAAATGCCAGGGGCCATTCTGACTCAGCTGTGGCTCTCAGCATCTTCACCCTTCTGTTTAATTAAACAACAAGCAATGTGGCTTAGGGACCGTGCCTGTTAGGTTGTCCAATACAACATATGGTCCTTACCCGTCATCGGATGAGCTGACCTCTAGGCATCAGCCTCCTGTCTTAGGTTGGTACCACTGCAATTGGATCATACCCATCACTGACTACCGGTCTAGCATACAGCCATACTTGTGGATAGGCCTTTGCACCAGTGGGGGGGTGAGGTTCTTTGCCTCACCTCTGTTGGCCCCCAAACTTGGCCATCACTAGCAGAAGGGAGGAGGATACAGAAATGCCACGACACTAAGCCAATTGACGGCTCCTTTGAAAAATTATACCACCAGTGACACCATCAGCAAAGATACTCCAGCATTACCACAGTTCGCTGCACCAACAGATAGTTAACAATGTATAAAAGTGATATATAGTCCAGGCAAGTTCTGCAAGCAGTTCAAAGCAGAGGAATCTATCAATATGTCCATTTCCTCCCAAAGTAAATCGAATTCCTTGATTGAGCATTACTTGTTGAGTTATTATTCATTGATGCATCAGTTTATACAGTTTGTTGTGATAACTATCGAAGAAGCTGTAGTTTGGTTTTATCTTTGTCTTCACCGGCACTGGGATGAAGATAGGAATTCTGGCAATGATGCTAAAAAAAAATTATGTAACATTCCAAATGGTACTAAAAGAAAGCAATTTTCTGAACAATTTACATTATCCTGAACAGAATTACTAACTATAATGAAAAGGAAAGGTGAAAGTAAACAAACAGATCTGTTAACCTCCTTATTTGTTCACATATTAAAACAATCCTCAACAGCTGTTTACCCAATTTAAATTAAACCATTTAAATCACGTGAATAAAAAAAAATTCGGATCCATTTTTTCATGTCCATATGATATATGGACACACACACACACAGACATACAACACAAAACACAAGTGTACACACAAACATACAACACATAAGACAATAGTAAAGACCTTGTAGCTTTACACAGGTGAAATCTCCATTGCAATGTTTAAAAACTCCACAGTCAAAAAATAAAACTGATCAGAAAAACATTAACCTAGGTCTGTATGAGCTCAAAAAATAAAATAGAACTTTATGATGTGGAAAAATGCAATAATAAAATAGATATTGAAAAAAGCATCCTGGTTAATCACTGTCGCAGATGTAAGAATAGCCAAGCTGGAGCTCTGGATATCAGCTGTTATGGATTTGAGTCAAATCATCTTCTTTTTGGTCTGTAGAAATCGCTTTGGTTAGTCTCTCTGGAATCCAAATCGGCTGCTGTTCTCCCTGTGGAAACACACAAACAGAACCCTGACTCCAGACAATCACTGGGTCAGGACCTTTCCATTGTCCTGTTAGAATACCCTTCCAAAGTACCTTAGGCTTATGTACATTTTTTGGATACATATGCCTTTCCGCAGCACTAAGCCCTGATGAATCCAAATTTAAAAAGTTTAGAGTAAAAAGGATTATTTTAAGTTTATCTTTGGGGGATATATACCCCTTTCCAATTCCCTCTTTTTGCTTTAATAAGTACATTTTAATAGTTTGATGAGCTCTTTCAACTATGCCCTGTCCCTGAGGATTGTATGAAATTTCTGTTATGTGAGTAATGCCAAATGATGAGCAAAATTGTTTGAAAGAGGTAGAGGTATAGCCAGGACCATTATCTGTTTTTAACTGTTTTGCAACACACACAGTGGCAAAATTTTGTAAGCAATGAGCTATAATATCTTTAGTTTTTTCTCCAGCATGAAGGGAACCCATCAAAAATCTGGAAGAAGTATCATCTGTAACATGCAAATATTTTAATTTTCCAAATTCTGGCAAGTGTGTGATGTCCATCTGCCAAATATGGTTAGGTATCAATCCTCTAGGATTGACTCCAAGATTAACTTGTGGTAAAAAGGTCACACAATTTTGACATTGTTTTATTATTTATCTAGCTTGTTCCTTAGTTATTTTAAAATGCTTTTGTAAAGTATTAGCATTGACATGGAACCTTTTATGAAAATTTGTTGCTTCTTCTAGTGTAGAGAAAATATGTATGTCATATGTAGTTTTATCTGCTAAATCGTTGCCCAAACTAAGGGCTCCAGGCAATCCTGCATGTGCTCTGATATGTCCTTTAAAGAATGGATCTTTTCTTTCCCAGATTAGACTTTGTATAGTGGAAAACAAAGAGAAAACAGTAGAGGAAGGAGAAATCCTACTAGCATATTCAAGGGATACTATAGCATTAACTATATACTGACTATCAGAAAATAAATTAAATACAGAATCTTTAAACATCACAAAAGCTTGTAATACTGCATTAAGCTCTACCTTTTGAGCTGAT